CACCCCCACCCCCACCCCCGCCACCCAGACTGGCATCAGGGCCTGGAGTCTTGTCTCTCCCCCTTGCCCTCACCCTTAGTCCTGCACGCCCCAGGTGCCAGGCTGCCACATACACCCCACCACTCACTGCCCTCTGAGCCTCCTGCTCTTTCCCCGCTCTGCTTGGCATGCCCTTCTACCTATGAAGCTTTCCCTGACCTCCAACCAGATATGGCAGCCTTCTCTCTGCTCCCACAGCCTTCAGGAAGCCTCTGATTTGACCCCACATGACTCCCTGTTTAGTGTTCTAGTTGAGACACGAGGCTGGGGTGGCTGGTGCTGGGAGTGGAGAGAGCACTGCTGGGAGAGATAAGAGGCAAAGTGATGGACGGGGTTCAGAGGTCAGGAGGAAACTTGCAGTCCCAGCTCTCCTGTGAATGGCCGTGTGGCATGAGGCCTGGTGTAGCTGTTGACCTCTGTTGACCTGCGGGACTCTTTGGGGCTTGGACAGGGCACCTCGGAAGGCGGCAGCCTGGAAGAATGCTGCTGGTTGCACACTCAGCTTTGGGAGAAGGAAGGAGAAACGGGCTTGTGTGCAACCTGCTTTCACAGTCCTGGTATTGCCCCAGTGGGCTCTTGATCAAGCCAGGCTTGCATATCGGGGCTATTTATAGTGATTGAGAGGAGGGTCATCCCAGGACATCGGACCCCTAAGATCACTCCTGGATCCCTCACCTTTTTTTCTGGCTTCAGGGTCCCCAAGGAGCCAAACCAGGAAAGAAGGAGGTATCAGTGTTAGTTTGTAGACTAGGGCATGTGACCTGCCCAATTCTGTGTCCCTCTAGGTCTGATCCAGCACATTCAGAGCCCCTTTCCAACTGGCTAAAGGGGACTTTCTGCCTCGGCTAACACTGCACACTCCTCTCACTTGGAATCAGCCAGAGCCTCCGTGGCTTCCGCAGGCCCTCTGATGCAAATCAGAGCTGTGGACCCAGGGGACTTGCCTGCCCTCTCTGGGCCACAGCACAGGGGCCAGGCTTCCCAGCTTCCAGGATTGAGCCCTGTCCAAGGCCGATACATGCGGGTGGGTATCCTATGTGAGGCAGGGAAGCTGACTCAGACCCTTAAAAGCTATGGCTGCCCCGTTTCTTGGGGAGGGAGAGGGGAGTCTCTCCCCAGCTTGCCTTTTTCATACTGTCTCTTCTCACTAACAAGGTGATTGGAAGATTCTAGGTGAGTTCAGATCAGAAAGGAAAAAAAAGAAACAGAAAAGCTCTTCACCTCGTGTCTGGAGTGCTGGACCCAGCAGTCACAGTGTGGCAGCGGAGCTGAGGGCTCTGAGAGGCCTCCACAGATCGGCAGATGCTGGCGGCCCCTCTCCCACTCCGGGATGCCTCCCCCTCCAGAACGAGGCCCACTTTGGCCTCCTCTCTCTGTTCCCTCTCCAGGTCCCTGTCCAAAGCCCCGGAGCCTGAAGAGCCCAAGGGCTGCACTGGTCCACGGAGCACAGCCCACCCCCAGACTTCCTGGGGGAGCACAAGGGCTGGACTGTCCCTTGCTCAACAGGCATCCTGGGGGCCTCTACACTCTCCCCAGCCCTGAGGCATCTTCTCAGAGGCTCAGAGAGGTTAAGTGATATGCTTAGGGTCACTTAGCAAGACAAGAACAGGGCTGAGCAGTCCCCAAAGCCTTATGGCCAGTCTGGGGCATCTCTTTGTTGCCAGTCTCCTCTGGACTCTCGACACTTGGCCCTCCTCCTAGGAGAGAGGAGATACTAGACCTTGACCCTAAGCAGGACCATCCTACTCTCCCAGCCCCAAGGCCCTAGCCCTGGCTAATCCAATCCTCTCTGACTCCCCTTCCCCCAGCCTGTGTGAGCCAATGAAGCCTATGAAAATTCTTCCAGAAGATGAATTTCATATGATGCAGCTAAAGAAGTCACTCTGAATGATGCATGTGTCCAAGGCTTTCTTTCTTTTTTTTAAAGTCTTTATTGATTTCAGAGAGAGGGAGGGAGAGGGAGAGAGAGCGAGAAACATCAATGATGAGAGAGTCATTGATCCGCTGCCTCCTGCACACCCCGACTGGGGATCGAGCCCGCAACCCGGGCATGTGCCCTGACCGGGAATTGAACTGCGATCTCCTGGGTCCTAGGTCGACACTCAACCACTGAGCCACGCCGGCCAAGCCGTTCAAGGCTTTCTGAGATGGCTCCAAGCACCTGGAGCTAGCTCTGCTAACCACTCCCCTCCTGCCGTCCTCCATCTCAGGCCTTCCTCAACCATTGACTGTGGATTGTTCTGACCCAACCCAATAAAATCCCAGCTCAGAACCTGGTCGGTGCCCACCTTCCCCTGTGCCCCTCTGTTGCAGAACCCCTGGAGGAGGCCAGGGCCGGGATGATGACCCTCTCTGCTCTCTGCCTCCACCCCAGACCATGCTTTCCTACGCCCCTCTATGCCCCAGGCCCCTACCCTCCATCCATCCTTTTTGTCACTGCCAGGGTAGGATGACAAGGGTAAGGTCACATCACTCGGGTTGAAGGTGGGCCTGTCATTGGAACCTCATAC